TTTGCAACCCCTAAAGACGCCATGACCCCAAAGCCACGACAGCTTCACAAACAGGACCAAGACGAGGTCTAGGACACGCGCGCAGGACACTCCACCAATTTCCGGGCCCTTTCAATCTCTCGCTCTGCTCTCCTCCCGCTTAGGAACCTGTCCGGCTCCGGAGGCTCGCACGGCCGGGCAGCCGGTGGCCCTCGAGGGTGCCGGAATAGCCTCCCACCCTACCCCTCTTCCGGGGATGTGGTACGGTTAGGCAAATGCGACGGGACGGGGGAGGGGGGAGGGGCAGTCGGAGCAAACGTAAACTGATTACGTCTCTGTCATGAATAAGTGGCACGGCGCTGCCCTGCGCTGCGTCTCCTTGCCAGGCGGGGGGCCATCTCGCCTAACGTAACGTAACCAGACCTGATCTAATCCTATGCCGACCATCCTGACCTGTCCCACCCGCCTCGAAACTTGGATCACTGAACGAAAAGAAATGTACCAGACCTGTCACTGATTTATTTCTTAGTAGATACCTACGTTTTTACGTATAGCAGGATTGGTGACAAATTCTTACTCGTTGTGTATTTCTTTTTCAGTAACGTAGCTGATAACAGAAAAACAATTTCAGTAATTTGAAAAGGAACCATTGCGCGCATTGCCAATGAAACAAGCAGCAGGAATACACATTCACAATTCACAATGATGTAAATATATTGTAAAATTAAAACTAACTTACGACCGCTTTCACACGGGAAAAAAATGACTTTGTTTTGGGAATCAGTTCTGTTTGGTAGGCTGAATTCGATAGCTGGAATCGAGAATCCGATTCTCACAACCAAGAGTTGGTTGCCACGACCGGACACTTGTACGAATAGAACCAAGCTGGGGTTTGTTCTATTCGTACAAGTGTCCGGTCGTCCGGTCGGGGCAACCAACTCCTGGTTTTTGGTATCGGATTCTCGATTCCTCCTATCGAATTTAGCCTACCGTACATAATTGATCCTCACAACGAGGTCATTTTTTCCATGCAACAGCCTCCATCGTTCCAGTATTCGCTGTAGTTGTTTTTATGTAGCGTCAAAAAGTAACGCCAACAGGCAGGCAGGACACGCCCACGAGGAATAGAACGAATAGCAGCTTCGCACCTGGTGGGTAGGCCACTCATCTGACACTCGCTGCTGCTGTGCGGCTCGACGACCGGCGCGCCGTGTGCAAAGTCCAGTCATTGACGTCAGGGATCTATCATACCCTGCCCCACGGATAGGATAGAAGGAGACAAGGACAAAAGTACCGCATTCGCTTTGACACAAATTTCCCTGAGTGTACCAACGCTAGGGTTTACAGTGCAATTTTAACCTACCTGTTCATTTTCGAACTCAGCGTGTCTTTAAAGGGTGTACAACTGCCCTGAAATATTCAGATCACTAGATATATTTGCTCCCGAGCCATCATGCGGAACGACACACGTATAAAAATACACAGATTGAAACTTTTGGGCTCTGCGGAGTGATGAGCATTCCTATCGCTCAGGCACTAATACTAGTATTTATTAGTCTATTCCTTTTTTATAAACATTACTACCAAGTGCCTCAGAGATATTTGATATGATGCTCAGCAGCAACAGTTTTGTTTCATATGGCATGAAGGCAAAAGTTGACACATGTATTGAATGGCACTGGAATCCATCACCATCCCCACATGTGCCCCACTCCTCCGCGCACCACATACATTTAGGGGCACAAGTGCGCTCTTCATCACTCTCACTTCTCCCCCCACCCTCACACTCGTCGTATCCCATCCCTTTGTCCCTTCCCCAACGCTCCAGCCTCTGATGCCATCATGTTGGTGTCGTGTCTGGGCTGTTGCCGAAATAAATAAAATGGCCAAAGTGATGATCGAGAGGTTTGAAAAGAGATAAAGAGCCAGTTAGGGTCGGGGGTCAGAGCCCAAGCCACATATTCGCCCTCATCCCCCTTCCTCGTTCACTCTTTCCATCCTCTTTATGACTGACGCGGTCTGCCACCCAGCACAACCTCTTCCCCCCCCTCTCCCCAATTCCCCCATCTCCACGCTTCGCTCACCACGCCACTCTTTTTCATCCAGCAGCCTTTGATGCTCCATATGTCCGGCTGGCCCAGCCTTGTGCTGGGACCCCTCAGTGGTGGGAAGAGGGAGGGGCTGATGTTCTGCACCCTCCCGCATTCCTGAAAGGTTCCGTAAGAAAAGATCCATTAGATTTTTCAAGCAAAAGTCCGTTTAAAATCAACAGATTTATTAATTTATCAACCCCAAAAGCTCAAATGGAGGTGCTAGCAAAAATGATAATATTTTGTTTTTCTAAAAGTAATCACTAGAAATACGAGGCTCACGACCGTCGCTCTTGAGGGAGCAACACTTGATTTGGTCGTTCTATTTTAGTAATGATTTTCCCATGGGTTTGGACAATTCGACGTATGCCTGCAGAAGTGGCGTATCTGTGAAGTGGCGCGCAACACTGGCGGATCTGCGCCGGCACGGCCATCCCGGGCGTATCTGGGAAGGGACGGTCATCAAAGGCGGATCTGCTTCTCGGCTGTTCTGCACAGTCAACTTTGGAGGCCTATTGCTCATCGTATGCATGTCTTACAGTATTGACTGCAGTCTCATATTAATGTTTATATCCTCGTGATTGATTTTTGACATCACTCAATACTATACGACATACCTACGATGAGCAATAGGCCTCCAAAGTTGACTGTGCAGATCGGCCGGAAAGCAGATCCGCCTTTGATGACCGTCCCTTCCCAGATACGCCCGGGATGGCCGGGCCGGCGCAGATCCGCCAGTGTTGCGCGCCTCTTCACAGATACGCCACTTCTTCAGGCTTACGTCGAATTGCTCCCCAGCCGAAAATTCCGGTTACGGTTACGGCTACGGTTACGGTTACGGCTACGGTTACGGCTACGGTTACGACTTCGGTTACGACTACGGTTACGGCTACACTCGTAAATTGGACCCATTTCCGGTTACGGTTACGATTAAAGTTCCGGTTACGATTACGTTTACTGTTTCGGATACGATTACGGTTAGTCAGCCCGGTTACGGTGAGAACGTTCCTGTTATGACGTATTGGCAGTAACTCAAAGCCCCCATGAGACCAGAGACATGTCGCCCATGTAAAATTTTGACGCCGAGCGCAATGGTGGTGTTTTCTTTGATGTATCTCTAACAGTTCTCAAGTTAGCCAGGGGTTGAAAATTCGACTCTTTCCAAACTCCACACATAGGATCGACTTGTGTTTCCCTTGCGTTACCCTTAACCGTTTCTCCCTGCGAAGCTTAGTTTAGGCGCTACGACGTTGCAAAGTTTGATATTTTCCGGTAACGGTCGTAATCGTTTAACATTACACGTAACCGTAACTGCTGACCGTAACCGGGCTACGGTTACGGTCGTATTCGTAAGCTTACTCGTAACCGTAAGTGTAAACCGTAACCGGACTCCGGTTACGATCGTAATCGTAAATTTTAACCGTAATCGGAGCAAATTACGGCCGTAATCGTAAATTTTGACCGTAACCGTAGCAAATTACGGCCGTAATCGTAAATTCTGGCCGTAACCGTAACCGGAATTTTCGGCTGGGTCTGTTTGAATGACGCACGCACGTCACTTAAAAGTAGCAATGATCAAAAATCCTCACACGTATTGAGCGATCTTCCATTGCCATCACATACATGGATCGAAAACTAACATAAGCTCTAGTTGGGAATGGATAAATCCGTCTTCCTTTTTAGATGGGAAACTTCATCCAGCAATAACAGTAAAAACGATGGAATGTCAAACAGGCGAGTGGCTTTTACATGCTGCTACATAACTTTTTATTTGCCAAGACGACATTTCGGCCGTGGTCCAACACGTGCGCATCGCCGCGCAGCCTCTCGAGAAGCATCTCGCAGATAATAGCACGTTGTTTGAGCCGAGCAGCGGCGGCAGCGGGCGGGCGGCGCTGCCGCTCCAGCTGCAGCGATTACTTTGAAATTATACTGGTCGGAGCGTGCGGCGTACTGCTTGGATCTAAAGACGCGGAAAAGTCTTTTCAAACGATGAAGTTGAGTGCCAGGAACAGTCGTCATCACACCTTCCATCTACGATTGAAATATGCCGAATTTTCATGAGGGCCAGGTACTATTATTTTTTATATTTTGCTATGAGACCGCACTTGTATCCAATATTTTTGAGGGTAATGTGACTCTTAAAGTTATGGAGTCGGTGGGATTCAGCGTAAGCCTTTCGTTTATTCGTCGGCGCCTGCTCAGCTGAAAGGCTTTAAAGCGGATCAATAAGATGCCTCTCTCTCCTCTCCACTTCTCTCGTCCCCTCTGCTTCTTCCAATCCCCGTACTCCGAGCCCCTCTCCGTCTCTATCCCTGACCCGCTCTCCGTGGGGACAGCGGGAGTCATAGCGAATACGTTCTATTAGCGCCATTAATCAGTCGGCTCTGTACGCTGCCGACAGGGAGCCCAGGGGCGACACGGACACTCCTGACCACTGCTCCGAATATCTGAGAACTTCTTGTTCAACTCACATAACCCGCGCCCTACCTGATTAACTCTGTTTTAGGAAATAGTTTCACTCGGTTTCACTTCTAGTTACTGTTGGCTACACCCCTACGCCACGGTGTTGCTCATAACTTGTACAACTGTCCAGTGTTAACAACAGTGTGTCCTTATCAAAAATAGTTGTTACCAATAAGCATTGTCGCTGTACGTCCCATTTAATTTTATTATTTTTTTCTATTTTTTTTTTCTGGGGCTGGGGTCGGGGGAGGTATTGGTGCGCCAGGGCGGCCGGGACAGACGCGAACGCTTAAGCAGGTCGGCCCTCGGGTCAGCCGGCGGCGCGGAAGCAAGCGCTCGCCTCGGTCACTAAACACAAAACTGCTCCTGGGGTTTTCACTCCTTCTAAAAGAAAATTGAAAAATGGAACGCACACTTTTAAAATATACCTGTTTAAATGGCCCTCCGAATTCTCCAGTTCGGTCTCGCCTGCCTTCTAGCCCACATGCTGGAATCCATCTTGAATGACGCGCCGAAATGCTCGCCTCTGATTGGCTCCAGGAGCCTTGGGTCGTCCGTATATAAGAGGCAAGGTCGCACCGCGCTTCACGGCGGCGGCGGCTCAGCTCGAGGCAACATGATCAGAACAAGCGTAAGTAGCCAGTGTTCACACGAACGGAAAATGGGCATTTTTGATGTGTCGTTGAAAACACCGAGTTACAAAAAAACAACAAAAAACGCGTTAAGTCCAATAATTTATTGCGTAACTATTGGATGGATCCCAAAACGTAGGTTGGCATCGTCAAATTCACCAACAACCAGTGCAAAGGTTGATATTAGTTATTTCGTTTATATTCTGCTTGATAACTAAAATCCTCAAATACTTCCCGAAATTGTAACCAAAGTTAATCAACATGATTGAGAAACTCAGGTGTTAGACAGTCTCACACTGTGAGGCAAAATACCTCACACCAAACGTACCCATACCAAATGGTGTGATAATACCATTTGGTGTAAGGTAAGTTTGCCTCACACCGTTTGGTGTGAGGTATTTTGCCTCACACCGCTTGGTGTGAGACTGTCCGGAGTTTCCAGATTGCACTTTTTTTTGTGGTACCAAATAAACGCACGTGTGCACTTTGTGCACCAGTCATGGTAAAACAAGGTTTCATTTATTTTCAGAAAAAGCGGATGCTTGAGAAAATCTCTTCAGACTTTGAGAATATTTCATCAAAAACTGAGGGAAATACTCTTTAATACCCACATGTTATTTAGCAAACGTACCCAAAATTTTAGGATGCTTTTCTCAAATCATGGGAGCAACCCAAAATTTTTCCCCTTTTCCTCAAAAAGTCGTATATTGTGTCCATCATGGTCAGACAAAAAGACTGTCAGCAGTATTTAGTCATTGTGGTTGGTTTTGTGGTGGCTCTCAGCACTGCTTTGTAAGCAGTAGTAGTTGTCTACATGTGATTATCGAATTAATTTTCACATTGTAGGTGGCGCTCCTACTGTTGGCCCTCGTGGCAGCGGGCCCGGCGAGCGCACAGCTCGTGTACACCGGACCGTACAGTCCCGCCTACAGTGCCTACTACCCCACCCAGTACACGGCCACCACTCCCTACGTTGCCTACACGACGCCCTACGTCTACACGACGCCGTACGTGGTCAGCCCTTATGCATACCTTTACCGCTAAGGAGAGGAACGGGTGAAGAGGCAGTCAGTGATGTCACATTTGAGCGGTATACACCACGCAAGACCAACGCCAGCGCTCAAGTTCACTGGCAAAGAATACTGTTGGAAGGGAACTTAAAACCTTGAACCTCTCAAATTTGTTTTCTGCTCAGGAACCGATTCTTGCTATCCTTCGATGTTTTGTGTACTACAGACTTTTTCAACAATTAAAACTGGGCATAATAAAACTCTGCAGCGAAAACCTGTGGGGCTGTAATCTTAATACTTCCGCAAAGCAACTAACGTGGATTTGCCGTCGACAATGACTATGAAAGTGTGGGGGCCGGAAAGCACACCCACGTATTTGCATTGACTTCTCTTGAAGACAGCCCCGCCCCGCTCGTAGATGCACACGAGGAGCACACTTTTTCGCAAAACACAGCGAACCCTGTTACGCAAGATGTTGCCTTGCCTTCATTTTCCAAGTACCTAGCACCCCAACGGAGGCCATTGGGAAATCTCGTGGCTTAAAAGGCTTATTAGTGAGGTATTGTACGAAAAAGAAGGCGAGGAATATCGTGTTTCGTCCATCAGCACAGACTCGCCCAATTAGAGAGAGGGAGAGAGTGAGTGAGAAAGAGAGAGAGAGACACTCTTTCATGATCGGATCCAGAGAGACCGCGTATGATTGGCGGACGCTTTCTTTGTGTTCGTCAGGGAGCGGACTCACTCGTCTTCTTTTTCGTCAAACGCTCCATTCACCACTCGCTTCCTCGTGAAATCTGGGAGACCTATTCGACAGCAAAACACGTGAGCAGACCCGGTACGGGAGGGTTTGAGCGCACTGTACCGGCCGCGCGCGTGTGTGTGTGTGTGTGTGTGAGAGAGAGAGAGATAGGTAGGGAAGAGAGAGAGATGGAAGAAGGCGTAAATCTGAAATGGAGATTGTATCGCTGAGTGAGAAATTGTCGCGGCGTTCTGCAGGCGACGGCACCCAGCTGCGCTTACGGGCGAAAATCGAAATTATACGGAAACACGAGAAGAGTGATTAAGTTGACGCGTGCAAAAGGGAATATGAGTGAAATTGAAGGTTTTGGGAGAACGCGCGCTTGCATGTATGCGACAACCAAGGGCGCAGTGGTGGGAGGG